ATAACTGCTCTGAAGTAGCCCACGTGAAAGCACGGCAACTCCAAGTCAATGTAACCGTAGTGGCCCAGACAGTCAGCCAAGTTCTTCCCGCAGGTTTCACAAGGACGGTCCTTCTCACTGGTACCCTTTGGATAAGAACATACCCAATTAGTAATGGAGACTACTGGACGGGACAGTGGGACCAGGTGATTCTGAGTCAGAATCAGCTGGGAAGGCGCTGTGTATTCACACCCCACTGACCAAAGGCTAGATTCCCTGAGATGGTGCAGGAGGAATAAGGGAGGAAGGAAGCTCTTGCTTTTTCTGACCTGGCAAATCATCAGCTTCATCAGCATGTCAAAACACATGGCCTGGGAGGGGGTGAGGCCTTACCATCCTATGGTCAAGCACACCGTACAGCAGGGGAGCATGGTTGTTGTCCTGGCTGTACAGGTTCTTACTCACAACCTGGATGTGGGCCTGCTGGCGCATCTCCTCAGGGGACTTCATTCCAAAACAGATGTGGCTTCTGGAATTAAAAAAAAAACAGGGGTGGGGGTGGTGCCTGGGTGGCTCAGTGGTTTAAGCCTCTGCCTTCGGCTCAGGTCATGGTCTCAGGGTCCTGGGATTGAGCCCTGCGTCGCCTCATCCTGACGCCTCACCCTGCATCGGCTCTCTGCTCAGCGGGGAGCCTGCTTCCCCTCCCCCGCTCCCCCCCAACCTGCCTGCCTCTCTGCCTACTTGTGATCTCTGTCTGTCAAATAAATAAATAAAATCTTAAAAAAAACAAAACAAAACCAAAAAACCAAAACAAAACCAAGCCAGTATAATAGAGTGCAGAAAGATAATGGCACAAGATGAAATCAGTGTGGTGTGTGGGGTCTGGTCATGCTGCGCTTGGGAAGGCTAGTAGAGATTTTACATGTTAGTACAATGGAAAGCCACAGGAAGGTTTTAAACTGGAGTCAGAAAATCTAATTTGCATCTTAACAGGGTCTCTTGGGTTCCTTTGTGAGAACAGATTACAACTGAATATGGGTGGGGTTTGGGGGGTGGGAATGAAGGGCCAGGGTGAATACGGAGAGCCCACTGGCAAGGATTCCTCCAAGTAGGACACTTGTTTCCCATGGACGGCAACCAACCGGAACAGCCGCCCAAGCAAAAGATTCTGTGCGTCCATTTTACACCCTAAACCCCTCTGAAATCCATCTCTCCAGTGACTGTACCAACCTCATGCAGAAGGACATCATCATCCCCTGCCTGGACCCCTGCAGTGGCATCCAAGGTCTCCCTCTCATTCCGGCCCCCAAGAATCGAGAGATGTTTCAGGAGAACTCTATTATCAAGACACTCCCCTGCTTAAAATGCTCCAGAGGTTCGTTATGGCCTGCAAGAGGATTCTGGAACACAGCTTCCGATCTCCTGCTTCCTTCTCATCACCCCTTTCTCCCTCCAGTATGCTCCTTAAAGGCTGCTGGGTCTGCATTCTTCTGCTTGAATCCCTTTCTTATTAGCTGTTTGTCCTTGCACTTGCCAACACTGACTTGCCTACTTTCTCCAACTAAAAGAGGCAGTAAGGTCTTATTCGCTTCCTAGCTCTAAAACTTATGGCCGGGCCTAGCGCACAACACCTTCCTCGGTTAAGCGTCTGCTGCAAGAATGATTGGTTCATTTTTCCCGTGTCAGCTCTAAGAGGAGGCCAGGGTCTGATAAATAAGCTCTGGGGGATAAAACGTCCAGAAGAGCAGCCTCATTTCCGAGACTGCTACACATCACCCAGTGGGAGAGCTTTCTAACTGGAAACTCTATCCTTTCGGTCAGCAAATATCGCCTCCGTGTTACATGCTCTGCAGCAAAACCACAATTAGACACAGTCCCCGCCCGAGACTGCGCACCACGGTGCAGTGGCAAAAAGATTTGCTGGGAAAGGTCATCGTTTGACCTCGGAGGACTCGTGCGTAGGGCCACAGCTCGCGTCACATAACAAGTCCCGGGACCTCCCCCGGCCTGCAGTCCCCCAGGTGTTGGATTACCCTCTGCCTGACCAATAGTATTTGATCTATCCTGATACTTGAGTGTTGCCTACACCTTCCGCGGCCCTCCCGGCCCTCCCCTTCCAACTGAATCTCATCTCTGACTCCTCGAGACCCGGGACCCCTGACATCGCACCCCCTTGCCCCTCGTTTCTCCACCCTTTGACCATTCTTGCTTCTCCTTACATTTTCTTGGCCACATCCGTCTCTCGGAACTGTTCCTTCACCATGGTGACGGCTGCCGAGGTACCCTCCCCAATACGCGGGGAGCTAGAGAAACGTACGCCCCCGCACCTCCTGAGACTGCTAATCGCCTCGCTGCTAACACCTCCGGGGCATCCTGTCGGCCACCGTAGAGCGCCCCACGTGGTCACTTCCTCTTCCGCTACTCGCCGGCGCGTCAGTCAAGAGAAGGCTTCGGACAGACCGCTTTCCGCCTTCTCCCTACACTGCCATCTTGCGGCGCCTCGTTGAAACTGCAGCGGGGTCGGTTCTGGCAATTTCAAAAGCCTTTTTGCGGTTCATTTCTCCAGGTCACACACATCAATACCACCTTAAAGATCGATCCTCTAATTTTTTACATTAAGGTGGAGGCTTAAATGAACCTGCCCAGGGAACAGAAGTACGAAACTGGAAGACCACCAAAGGAAATAAATGAGTCAGGAAACAAGGTCATGCGTACAGTTTACAAAGTTTCTTTGAAAAAGAAATGAGGGGGCACCTGGGTGGCTTAGTGGGTTAAGCCTCTGCCTTCAGCTCAGGTCATGATATCAGGGTCCTGGGATCAGAGCCCCGAATCCGGTTCTCTGCTCCGCAGGGAACCTGCTTCCCCTCTCTCTCTGCCTGCCTCTCTGCCTACTTGTGATCTCTCTCTATCTGTCAAATAAATAAATAAATAATAATAATAAATGAAAAAGAAATGAATTAAACTTATATGATTGATTACAAAACCTGAAGCTATAAATCTGTGAAAAGTAAGTCATGGTGAGCAAGATGAAGGGAGAATAGGAATTGGAGATCATTAACGTAGTCGGGAAATAAACAGCTTGCGCACACTCTGTGACAACCTGTGGGAGGTGATCCTAGTGTGACATCTCAGCACATGAGACTACCAAGGAAACTACACCACCGTAGGATTTAATGCTACAGAGCCTGAAACTTCTTTACTATTTGTAAGAAACTCTAGACAGAACTGAATCAAGTGGTTCAACACCTTTGAGTTTTAAGAAAGGATGCTATTCAGACTCCATGGATCCTCATTGGCAAAACACAAATGTAAAACAAAAAAGCAAAGCAAATAAGACTTTACTTATTCCAGCAGTTAATCACTTAAAATCTCTTTGGAAGAATATAGACAGTACTAACAAGATTTGACGAGGGGCTTTTATCATAGAGGTTAGAAGCAAAGGTTCTGGAATCACAGTCGCTCCCGGGGTACCACCACCTGAAGTTGTGGGACCTTGAGAAAGTTATTTAGTCTCATTTTGTCTTGGTTTCCCCACCTTATAAGAGAGGTAATAAGTATCCTACTTCTTAGAGTTATGGGGAAGGTCAAATGGCAAAATGAATGTGAAAGTATTTAGAATGTAATAGGCACATAGCAGTCACTCAATGAATATTAGCTCTTGTTACTCTGAAAAATGTAGAAAAGCTATCATCAAAGCCTGCACCTTTGTCTCCTCTTCCACACTAATCTTTGGAGGTCCTAATGTATGTATTTGAACATGCACGTATGTTCCTTATTTTTGCATGGCCATGTCACTTTAAATAACAAACTTATGGATCAAATATTCATAAAAGTTGTTTTTTTTTTTTCTGGTAAGGACTAAGGTTTTCAGAAAAAACACAAATTAAAGAAAGATTCTTTTATTTTTAATTCAGAAAACTACCACAGGATCTCAAAAAAAGCAATATTTAGCAAGAAAGTAAAATGGTCGGTTTCGTGCAGTTGAAATAACAAAAGGTTTTGAATCGGTTTCTGCGGTTTCCCTCGCTATAAAATGAGGCTGGTCGACAGGATCTCCTAAGATGTCTTCTAGCTTTACGAAGGTTTAACTCGCATTGAGATAATTTAAAGTATAATTCGGTTTATCGTAATTTTAAGTACGGGAAAAGCAGGACAACGAATTGAATTGAGACTGAACGTCTGCTTTCGTAAATCTAGTCGATGTAAGATCCGTGGGGGCGGGCCTTGGGCACTTTCAATCAGGCATTGGCGCGGCCACCCTCGCCGGGCTGGCCACGCCCCTACGCCTTCGCGGGGGCCTTCCTTGCGCATTGATATGATTGGCCGGCGGGTAGTGGGTCTCTTTTTCTCTGCGGTGCTAGAAACTCGGGAGCCATCATGGTGAGTCTCCCCAGACCCGTGCCGTCATCCAGCACGTATCTGAGCCATCCTTCGTCCCCGGGTCCTGCCCTTCGTGGTACGGCCACCCGAAGCTCTGTCGCTCTTTTTTTGGCTGTGTCTGACGGAGGGTGGTTGCCGAGAGTCCCGGAGCCGTCGGCGGGGACCTGACCCGGACACGCCGGGGTTCAGAATCCAGGACCTGGGGATTGCGAGGGCGCCTGTTGCGTTTGTCGGCGTCGTGGAGCCTAGTGGATCGGGCGGGGTGGTCTGAGACTCCTCTCACCTGCGTTCTCGGTTTGGGATAGGCGGCTTGCAAGTGATGGCAGCCCCAGAGATGAAGCGGGTGCCAGCGGCGCCCGGGCGATTTGTGGCGCGTGAAGCTGTCCGCACGTCTAAGCTAGAACATTGTCAACGGGACGGAGCCTCTTGTACTTTGCGGAAACCGAGACCTTGGAAAGGGAGGCCCGCAGAGAGCTTGCCTTGAGTACATGACGACTGAGCTCTGTCAGTAAAGGTTCCGCGCCCGTTCGTAATCCCACCGTACGTGCAAGCTCCCTCTTCCCTCCGATGTTCTCAAGAGTTGGGGGCGGTTCAGGTGAACTTACGTCGGTGTGGCTTTTCGCCCTGAAGTAGAAATTCCGCAACCAGTCGTTGCCATGAAAGCCTCTCCTTTCTCCCTTTCGGATGAAATTTCTTTTTAGTGTAAGCATGCTGAATGCCCACGTTCCTAGGTGCTTATTTGTGTAAAAGCTGTCGGGCCATTTAGAAGGGAGCAGCTTTTCTTGTGGGGTGTAAGTTGGCCATGCACGGTGGGTAGTTGACATGCAGATAGTGGCGGCGTTTGTGTCAAATGTGTGAGGGTGTTAACGAACGTCATTGAGGCTGTAAGGTTTGTACAAGGTCAAGTAGTTTTACTCCACAGAAAGGGTCCTTACATGAGGGTGAGGGTGGTCCCCCCCCGCCCCGCCCCAAGGAGACAGTGCAAAATCTGGCGGCAGTTTTGATCCAAACTGGAGAGTTGGGGGTGCTCCTGGCTTCTAGTGCAAGGGTGGTACGGGACGTTCTAAAATGCACAGGACAGTCCCCACAGAGAAGTAGTGGGGCCAGAGTAGTGATGTTGAGATTGAGAAACCCTGCTCCAAAGTGATTCCCACGGCGAAGGGAAGATTCCAGCAAGCTGTGGAGTGTGTTCTCTTGGTACTGAGGATATGTGTGAGGTGTGCCTTAGGAGTTAGGTGGTGGGGGGGTTGTGGTTTTTTTCTTTCCGTGGAAGCGTTCCCACCACTAGCTCATGTAGCTGTTGAAGGTTTAAAATGTGGCGCCCGCAGCTGCGGAATTGCATCTTAAATGTGACTTCGTGTTTGTAAATCATCCACATGTGGCTCGTAGGTACCCATTGGCAGTTCTGTACCTTGGAAACGCTCAGCAGGGTCAGGAAGAGGTTGAGTGGATTGCTAACTCGTGGTTTATGTATGTTTTTAGAACGACACAGTAACTATCAGGACCAGGAAGTTCATGACCAACCGTCTGCTTCAGCGCAAACAAATGGTAAGGGAGGGCATATCAAAGTTTCATTGTTTCTCGCTTTAAAAGACTCATTTTGTAATAATAAACATTAAAACCTGTTACTTCTTTTTAGGTTATTGATGTCCTTCATCCTGGAAAGGCAACAGTACCTAAGACAGAAATTCGGGAAAAACTAGCCAAAATGTACAAGACCACACCAGATGTCATATTTGTATTTGGATTCAGAACCCATTTTGGTGGTGGCAAGACAACTGGCTTTGGCATGATTTATGATTCCTTGGATTATGCAAAGAAAAATGAACCCAAACATAGACTTGCAAGAGTAGGTGTTCTCATTTGTTCAATAGTTGCTGAAGACTGATTTTTTCTTTTTTATCTGACAGAGAGCAAGAGCGGGAACACAAGGAGGGGGACTGGGAGAGGGAGAAGCAGGCTTCCTGCAGAGCAGGGAGCCCGACTGAATCCCAGGACCCTGGGATTATGACCTGAGCCGAAGGCAGACAACCAGTGAGCCACCCAGGTGCCCCAGGACTGAATTTTTCAACAGCATTGTGTTGTGGGTGCGGTGGAATGAGCAAGAGCAGGCAGGCTGTGGAGGGACAGCCCTCAGATCTAAGGAACTAAAGGGGTTAAGAAAGAAGGTTCTTTGATAAATGAACAGCTAGAGTACAGGGCTTCAGTAATGGCGTCTGCAGCTTTTGAGGAGGAGGCATTTGAGCTGGGTCTAGAAGGGCAAGTAATGGAGTACTTGTGGAGATAGGAGCTGGAAATAGGGGGATGGGTTTGGAAAGGTTGGCACCAAATTGAGATCCTTAATTCTAAAAGCCTGAGTTTGGACTCCACCCTCAAAGGTAGCCAGGAATCGTGAAAAGGCTTTTGATCATTTTCCTAGTGAACTACAGCAATGAGTGGAGCAAGCTTCCTTAGATTCTAGATTATGAACTGTAGATTATTATTTTAAAGTAGTACTTGTGTTTTTCTCTCTTTATTCACTGCCATCAGGTAAGTCTTCCAATAGAACACCTGAGGGGAAATGATGGTGTGGTAGGCAGATGCTGTACTCTTTAGTTGGGTTGCCTCGGAGGCCTTGCTGACCTTTAAGCTGAAATCTGAAGATTTGAAAGCAGTCTGGGCAGCAGGAACAGCACGTGCAAAAATGGGCAGAGTGTAGAGGAGTAGATTGGAGTGTTGAGAGCACATGTGGTTACTGTGCCACTGATTTGCGCATGGCGTGTCTCAGTTGGATACCTTTCCTGTTTTAGTACAAACAAGTATTGTTAAATGTACTTGAAACACTTTTGATTTGGGAAGGTGCATTTCTTGAGCTGCTTAACTTGCTTATGATCCCTACCAGATCAGTTAATGCTGAGTTGATGTTCACAGGTCACTTAAAGGTACTCCTTTTTCCTTTAGCATGGTCTGTATGAGAAGAAAAAGACCTCAAGAAAACAGCGAAAAGAACGCAAGAACAGAATGAAGAAAGTCAGGGGGACTGCGAAAGCCAATGTTGGTGCTGGCAAAAAGGTATTGCTCATCAAGGAGAATACAGAAATGTCAGTTGCAGGTCTTTAGTTTCTAGAAAGGAGGGATTTGTTTCCTTAATAACCTTTTTAAATGTTTTTTCTTTTCCCACTTCTTCTGGATTACAGAAGGTAATGTGTTTTGAGACGCTACATGATGTAGTATCTTAACACCTCACTAGAGTAGCTTTGCCCACCCTTTGTCAGCTCACAGATCAGCACAACACAGGGGCCACATCGGTTCAGTGATCCTAGTAGGCACCTTGCAAGCCCTGTCGGGAAAAAGTTTTCATTTTATTGCTAATTGGTTTGGACTGTTAAAAGGGGAAGATTAAGCTTATTTGCTTAAAACAGATAACTGGTTTAAGAAGCAGTTGAATCAATGTGGCCCATGTTTTCCTGGCATGCTGGAGAGGCAGCTGAAATCTCAGTTGATTTCCTCTCCAGTTAGCCAAGACTTAAGTGATTTTAACGATAAGCAGCTTTTTACCAGCTTTGCCAGCTAACTGTAAATAATAGTTGGAATTAAGGTGTTGGGTTGTTAAATTAACAAATAATCAAGTGTTCTGTGAACTTTTTTTTTTTTTTTTTTTTTTTTTTTGCCTTTTCCCTCTACTTTCTTGGATTTCTTATTCATCAGAAATGAAGTGTCTAGCAGGTACTGAGATTGTGAGCACGGTGTGGGGATGCATCACCTTCACTGAGTTTGCTTTGATGCTTTGCATGTGTTGGCTTTTGGACAACAAGAGTTTTATGTAGTATGATCTCTTATAATTTAACTGCTTTGTTTTAAAATGGTGTATAATGAGGAAGGGAGAGAAACTTTTAATCACGTTTATTTTGGAAACTCAAAAATGCATGTTAATGTTGCGAAGTGACCTGGTGAAGGAAGGTGGGTACTCTACTGAGTAGGCGTCTTCTAGCTTGTAGTTGGGAAATGCTGTGTCCCAGGGTTATATACCAGGAAACAGCTTTAGTTAACACAGGGCCTGGGGAAGGGCCTCTCATTTTGTCATCAGCAGTCTTTCCCTTGGGGATCCTGAGGACTGGTCAATTTCTTTGGCAGCTCTGGTAATAAAATCGTCTAGGAAATCTGTCTAGAAAGCGTTCACTCAGATCTGCCTTTTACGGTTATACTGCTTTTTATTGATCTCTAATTTTTCATCTGATGTCCATTTTTCTTTTAATTGAAAAAATTCCTAGGTAATTGTATATTCACACCAAAGCCCCTGATATATGATAAACTTTTTCTGTAAATTTTTGTCAGAGTGGTCCACTACCCCACGACATTTTTGCATATTTGAGTAGGCTAAATCATGTAAAGTGGGCTTAAGAGGGGTTGGGCGTAGTAGGGTTTTGAAACACTGGTAGTCTTGCCCCTGTGTACTTCCTGTAACAATGACTCCCTGCCAGGCAGTAAATCTGGTATGCCTGCCCAGGCCTCTCTAATCACATTGTCTTTCCAGCCATGGAGTTCTGGTAATGGATGAACTGCCAGAGGAACTACCTTCTGCTTAGAACTGCTCCCTTTTTGTGAGGCTTATACTTACCAACTGAGTTTGCTGAGGTTGCAAAAAAGAGTCAGTGGACTGATCTAGAACCCAAGGACATTTAACCCGTTCTCGTCTTCATTCAGCCTTTGGGCCCCATGTGTTCTCGTTAGTGTTCGCCAGTGACGTGTGGAGGGGCTCCCTGTGGGGACCTGAGCCATCACTATTCCCTCTTCAGATGGCACTGGTGCATTTCATTAGCAGAGCTCGGGAAAACTGGCTGGGAAATGAATGCGTGAATGAGCACATGTGTTCTTTGGCTCCAAATAGCCAGGTTTACTAATGTTACTTTTAACTGTTTTTGTTTGGATGTTGGAATTGGTATTTGCTCTTAACCTTTTAGGTACAATAGAGTTGTTTTAAATTAAGGAATAAATGTTCTTGTTTGAAGAGCGCTTGAAGCATTTTCGTTTCAGCCCAGTTCTGCCTTTTTAAAAACTAATTTGCACTACTTTGGTGGCTGTGAACAGTAGCTTTTAAAGTATTGAGCTGAGACAGGTTTTAAAAGACTTAGCTTGATCATTTAGAACTCTCTTTGAGGTTAGACTCTAGTGTGGGATGATTCCTGGCTCTTTCGGTGGTGCATGTGTGCCCAACATGATGTTGCTGAGCAGCAGAGCAGGAGGGTTGAGGGTCAGGTATGTGTGCTTCATGTATACGTAGGCAGTGGCAGCCTGGATTGGCACTGCTGTTGGTATGATGATCTCTTCGTTGTGAAACCATTATGCCACTTTGTTTACATAAGAACCATAGTAATCACTTGAGGTATTCTCCAAATTGAGAGGAATAAAAGTGTGTCTAAGGAGTGCTTTGTATACAGTTAAAAAGAAAACAGTTATTTTTAAGGTAACTAATTGCATGCATGTAAATGCAGATTATCTTGGAGTTTGAAAAGGGACTATTAATGAAATGTTTCTTTTCCTTCTTCCCTCCTTTCTCCCTTCCCTGCCACTGATTCAGTGAGCTGGAGATTGGACAACAGGTATAATTCAAGCTTTTCATGTGGATCATTAGGCTTTACTGATAACAGTAATTTGAAAGTCTAGAGCATGTGAAATAGTTTTTGTTTTTTTGTGTTTGTTTTTGCATGTGAAATAGTTTTAGAAGTTGATTCACAAATACTTCCAAGAATCGTAGCTTTTTAAATACTGGTAGTGACATGATTTTGTTTTTAAAACTTAATATTTAATTGTTTGTTTCAGTGTTTGCAAGCTTTATTTCTTGATGTTCTCATTGTGTTATCGCAAACTTAACCTTTTAGGTCACTAATACTTGTTTTGCATGAGTGTCATTAATTTTGGAGTTTGCTGAAGATTTTGAACTTCAAACAGTTTTAAAAGTGGTTAACTAACTAAATTTTTCCTTTTCTTTGTTTCGCAGAAGGAGTAAAGATGCTGCAGTGGCTTTATCTGTGGTGATTGTGCAGATTTTTCATGAGAGGATTAATAAACTAAGAATGTTAATGTGTCTGTTTGTTTGAAATGTGTTTGAAATTTACTGGGAGTGTCAAGAAAATTACTCTGCTGTTAGAGTAGATTTAGATTGCTGCCCAAGTTTACATATTCCAGTACTCTTTTAGTGAAAACTTGGTATGATTGTCGTTTCTTTTAGTAGCATAAATAATGTAGGTATCGGGTATCAGCAACATGAGAGCATATAGGGCCAATCTCGTGCGCTCATTGTTAATACTTGCCATCAGTGTAGTAGATCGTTATCTGAAAGACACACTTGAAATCTGCATTAATTCCTTTTGGTCTTCCTAGAGCCCGACGTCGTTCTTATTACTGAAAAATTATTTGCCGACCTCAGTAGAAAATTACTAGTTCCCATTTTCATCATTCATCATGAAGTAAATAAGATCTGCCAAAATTATCTGTGCATTGTAGGTTTGTGCTTGTGGGATAACTGAATGGTGTATTATGAGTGGGGAATTTGGAAGAAGTTAGTATAATGAATATTTGGATGTAGTGTGTAATTGCTTGGTAAATCTGTATATGCTTTTGGTGAAACATGGAGGGTTATGTAGTATCACTTATACTTTGCTGAATGTCACTTCTGAGTTTGGTTTTTTCAGGTATCAGAGTTGATAACCAGGTTGATAACCCTGAGCTCTGGGTTATTGGTCACTTGTTTGGCTTTGAGAGGTGTGTGTGTTTCGTTTTTTTGTTTTGTTTTTTTTTAAAGATTTTATTTATTTGGGGGAGAGAGAGAACAGCAGGGGTACCAGCAGAGGGAGAAGGAGAAGCAGACTCTCCATTGAGCAGGGAGCCTGATGTGCGGTTTGATCCCAGGACCCTGGGATCATGGCTGGAGTAAAGGCAGACGCTTAACTGACTGAGCCACTCAAGGAGCCCTGGCTTTGAGAGATTTGAAGGGCAGTTGTTTTAGGGTTACTGTAAGGGTTGGGGTGCCTTTTGATGAGAGGGTAGAAAGTGAGGAGTTGGGAGAGCTTGGGTATTTGGGAATAGGGTGAAGAGGCATTGATGGCTTAAGGGTTTTGGATTCCATTTTCCCCTGAAGTTGGTATAGGATTGGTTTGTACCTTACATGGGTCCATCTGGGAGTCAAGCTTATAAATATGATTAGGAGCTATGTAAGTAGATGAAAAGCATTAGTGAAACCTCAGGAAATTGTAAAGGAGTGAAAGACCTGCTTGGTTGGGTAGATGGGGGGTTCGGGAAGAAGGAAGGATCGTGATAGAAGGCATGAGGATGCTGGAAGGAATCGTGTGTTTTGGAGAACATGGTGAGAGGCCTTGATTGAAGAGGGACGTGCAGAGTAGAGAGCAGGAATGTAAGGGCTGGACCTGCTGGCTGAGGTCTGCTGATGACAGGTGTAGTTGTTTCACTTGGAGCTAAGCTCAGGCTGTGCTTTTGGGTTTGTGGAATTCATGGCCCTTTGGTTTCCCTTGCTAGGGCCAGGACCTCAGCCTGGCTGTACTGGTAGGAGAGTGTGGAGGAGTGGGGGATTCAGGACTGCTAGTGTCAGTTTTCACCAGAGTGGCTAAAAGGTGATGTGGAGTGGAGGATTTTTCAGCTAGCAGTGCAGAAGCCATTCTTGCCTGGTGGCAAACATTGCAGGAGAAGATGGGGTTCCTGTGGCAGCGAGGTTGAGGGAGCAGAGGACTGGTAAACAGCGTGCAGGGGCAAGGAGAAGGAAAAAGAGAAGGGAGAGCTGGGAGAGGTGACACCTGGGCTGGCCTGGGGTAGAGCACTGGATGAATTGGAGGTGGGGGAGGTGTCGGAAAGTTGAGGAGCAGAGCTAAGAGAAGCAAAATAAAGGGTGTGAGGTGGCTTTGAGAGTGGGGTACTAGAGACTGATGTGAAGATAGAGGGCACAGCTGTGGCCAGCCTGAGTGGAGGTGAAGGTTGGTAGCATTCACAAGATGAAGAAGCTTTTCTGTTGGGATGTACTCAGGAAGGGCAGAGTTGACAGTCATTCAGCCAGTGTAGCCTCTTTGGGGAAGGGAGTTCCTATTAACTCTGGCTGGGCTTGGTTTTCCAGGGGAGCTGCCTAGGCTGAGCTATTGCAGAAGTCACTAACTGACATTGTCTGTAAGCTCTGTTGCACAGGCACAACATTTTGAAACTGGACAACTTACACATAAAGATCGAGATTTCCAGCTTCTTGAAATACCAGGCACCAAGAACACCTCACCTTCCTGTGTGATGATAGTTGGCAAGGTTAAATGCTTGGGTGCCTGCCTTAGGATTGGTGTTGTGCAGTCCACCATGGCCTCCATGGTCTCAGCTCCTACAGCTAGCTTGTACCCTCTCTGCCTGCCCTCTGGTTTTGTGTCCCTTCTGCAGGATTCTTCCTTTTAGTCCAGGTGGGTGTCGGCAAGTCACTTGGTCAACTGATGGAGTAGCTTTTCTTTCTTTTTTTAAGATTTTATTCATTTATTTATTTGGCAGAACAAGCAGGGGGAGTGGTAGGCAGAGGAAGAGGGGGACAGGCTCTCTGCTGAGGAAGGAACTGGTTGTAGGACTCCCATCTCAGGATCCCAGATCATGACCTGAGCCAAAGGCAGATGCCCAACTGACTGAGCCACCCAGGTGCCTCCGGGTTAGCTTTTCTTTAAGATGTATTTATTTTAGAGAGTACGTGAGTATGAGCACATGCACGAGAGGGAGGTCTCTGGAGGGGCAAAGGGAGGAGGAGAGAGAATCTCAAGCTGATTCCCTGCTGAGCAGAGAGCCCAAGATCCTGAGGTCAGCTAGCAGACCCTGAGTCAGACGCCCAACTGACTGAACCTCCCAGGCACCCATGGATGAACTTTAAATTGGGCTACTCAAGGGTACCTGCTCTGTTGACCGGACTGAAGAGGCTATTTTGAGGCCCAGATGGTGGAGGACCTGTAAGAACAGTTTAGAACTGCAGTGCTAAGCAATGGGTGATAGGAAGGAAGGACACACAGGAACTCACTCAAAATTGTGGGAGGTCTGTGCTGTTGAACCTGAGGATTCGTAGAGATCCAGCATTGTTGCCCCTGACAGTAACCAGACCATGCCCTGCTGTCAACAGTCTTTTTGAAAGGGACTTTGGGAAAATGCAAAGTTGCCTTTCCTAAGCAGAGTCAGCAGGGAGGGAGAGTACCTTCCTTTCCTTAATTTGGCACTGGGGGGAGGTTGTGGATTCGTGAGAGGAAGCAGGAATCTTTAAAGAGTGGTGAAAAGAGGCCAGAAGTGATTCTGAAGGGGGTGGTTTTACAGTCTCCAGTGAATACTGGGGTGCTTCTTGGCCTCTTATCACAGCACCCAAGTTGCATTTATAGTTTGCTGCATGTGCCCAAGCAGTCAAGCAGCTTTTAACACTGTTCTGCTCTTTATTTCCTGATAAGTTATTTTGGGTTCTTAAAAACAGCATCTTAATAGGTCATAGTCTTGGAGCCAAGGCAAGTACCATCTAAATTCTGTATAAATTTTCTCCTTTATCCTACACAATAACCCTAAGAGACGGATCTCACTGGGCCTATGGAGGAGAGTTTAGAGCAGTTAAGTGGTGGGCCTGGGAGTAGGGCACAGTTGTCTTGACTCTAGAGAATTTTATTTTTTAATTTTTTTTTGGAAGGTTTTATTTGACAGCTAGAGAGGGAACACAAGTGGGGAGTGGGAGAAGAAGCAGGCTTCCTGCTGAGCAGGGAGCCCACGTGGGGCTTAATCCTAGGACCCTGGAATGATGGCCTGAGTTGAAGGCAGACACACACCTAAGGACTGAGCCCCCCAGGTGCCCCTGACTCCAGAGTCTATCCCTGTGCCTTTATTCAGTCAAATACGAATTGAGCAGTTCTCTGCAGGGCATGTAAAGGTTAAAGGTGAACAAGACTCGTGATTTGTATACCCACTGTGTGCTCAACAAGGTGCCCATTGCCATGGGATAATTGAAGGGGTAGATGGTCAACTGAATTTTCTGTTGGCTAGACTGCTGTGCACCCTGGTTCCTGTGGGGGGCCTGGAGAGATGAATGAACTAACCCTTCTGTCAAAGCTCAAGGGGTTTAACAACTCACTGCAGTCTCATGGCCTGATTCCTCACTGTGAAGCAGCAGACAGTGCATAATTGTGTTAAATTACATGATAGGAATCCGAGGCAAGAGAATCTGAAGGTTGACTGGGTCTTGGAAGGCTTATGAAGGAATATCACTAACAACCTGATCTGGATGCATGGGAGCAGGGTTTTCTGATCTAAGGTGGTAAAAGCTAGAATGCAGGGAGGTGGGAATAAGTAGCAGCTGTGGGGTGAAATGAATGCAGTCATTCTCATGGGGTACAGGTGGGGAAGAGTTGGGGAGGATGGGAGCAGAGTGCTTATGGGTGAGATGGAAGATCTCTGGTGACTTTGGTGCCTTCCAGCAGTTTTGCATAATGCACCTGGTACCAAAAACTCCATTTCGAAAATAGACTTTAACTTGGTTCTAAGGGCACAGGTATGCTTGATTCATTTGTGCTGACAAAGTAGAGGCTTTCCTGAGTTTTGGAGCTCTGCAGTGTGGGTCCAGGGTGTGAACAGTCTGGTTGAGGGTTAGGGTACCATTAAGGTCCCAAGGGAAATGAGACTACAGAGGCCAGCAGGGAGCAAGTTACAGAGGATCTTGTACTTCAGGCTAAGGGTTTTTCTTGTTCAACATTTTGTTTGAATAAAAACTACAGTATTGAGTGTCCTTGTCACATGCTGAATTCCTCTGCATGGGGGATACTTAAGCTGTTTGTTCATCATGCATAGTGGAGCGGGGATTTGTGCCAGAGGCCAGGCATTGAAGAGATGGCATCCATGCCATGTAGCTTGATGGAAAAGAACTAGATTAGAATCTGGAGACCTGGTTTGTGATCCTTGCTCAGCCTCTAGCCACCTGGGGTTATGGGTGGCAAGGGACTTTACTGAGCTACCATTTCCCTGTGTCTAGATGAGGTACAGGGATGGATGAATAGTTCCCAAACTTGGCATCTGAGGGCTTGTTGAAAATACAAATG